TCCTTTTTCATTCCACCGCACCATTCAACTCAAAGTTATCAATTCCCTTTATTGCTATAGCATCAGACCTAAATCACAAATGTTACAGAAAATAGTCTGTTCCCCAGGATTTTTTTCTGCTACTCTAGCTTCTGAGCATCTTGGATACACTTGGCCTCTGGCCTTCCTTTCGGAAACCAACCAGCTTCGTTGAGGCTTGGAGTTCAGCTTGTGACCCAGAGGATTTTTTTTTTCTGGTTTGTTTTTGAAACTTTAGTTTCTTGTCATTTCTCTCTGCAGAGTAAATGAGTTACTAAGCCAAAAATCTAGAGACTCCAGCTACACTGCCATCTGGAGTAGGGACCAAACAATCACTGGCAGGCCTGGAAAAAGCATTAGGTTTTGTGCAACACTCAGAAAATATTATCCAATCATTTATTTACTTATTCTTTGTGGAGACTTGTGTGCAAATTGGCTGCTGAATTTACTACATTATAACAGTCACTACATTCCAAATGTTTTTTTAACTGATTGTAATGTACTTTTGGAATTGAGACAGACATTCTGAGGTCATAAGAAAAAGGGTGTTAGACAAATGCACATAGTGTTTATTTCAAAAAAATAGATTAAACAACCACATCCATTTACAGAGACAGAAAAATAACATATAATTTGTGCAGAGAAATGGCAGATGGAGTTTAATCTGGACAAATGAGAGGTGATGCATTTTCAGAGATCAAATTCAGATGCAAATAATGCAATAAATGGCAGAACCCTTAGCAGCACTGACACACACAAATCTGGGTGTCCAGGTCCACAAATCCCTGAAAGTGGAAACACAGCTGGATAAAGGTGATCAAGAAGGCATACAGCACACTTACCTTCATCGGCCAGGGCATCAAATATAAAAAGTTGACAAGGTCTGTTACAACTGTACAAAACTTTAGTTTGGCCACATTTGGAATTTTGGGTGCTGTTCTGGTCACCACACTACCAGGAGGTTGTGGATGCTTTGGAGAGGTTGCAGGGAAGGTTTACCAGGATATTGCCTGATCTGGAGGATTTTAGTTATGAGGCGAGGTTGGATAAACTCAAACTGTTTTCACTGGAAAGACGGAGGCTGAGGAGCAATCTGTCAGAGATCTACAAAATTATGATCAGCACAGATAGGGTGGATATTCAGAGGCTTTTTTCCCAGGGTTAAAAATACAAGAGGGCACAGGTTCAAGGCAAGAGGGGGAATGTTTAGGGGAAAAAATTGTGGGGAAAATTTTTCATGCAGAGGGTGGTAGGTTCCTGGAATGCACTGCCAGTGGAGGTGGTTGAAGCAGGCACATTAGCAAATCTAAGGCATATCTTAATAGACGCATGAATGGGAGGTGAACGGAGGGGTGGAAACCACGCGTGGGCGATAAATAGTGGGTCTAAATAAGTAATAGAATTGGCTCAGGCTCAGTGGGCAGAAGGGCCTGTTCCTGTGCTGTATAATATGAAATAATAGGTACACACTGACATTTATGCAGCACTTTTAATGTATTAGAACATTGTAAAATAGTGGAATGTGCAAGAGGACAAAGGAGGTTACTGAGGGGAAGGAATTGGGTGGGGATTGAGAGGGCAAGTGAGCCCATGGAGGAATTAGAAAGCAACGATACAAGTTTGTTTTTAAATTTGAGGGCTCTTTAAAAAGCGGGCAAACATTGATCAGAGGTAATAGGGGTACTGGACAGGGAACTAGACCAGGTAGAGGCAGCAGGTACCAGAGAGCTGCCAGCCCTCAGAATACATGCTCCAATCATTCTTTTCAGGAACAAAGGGAGAAATTTGCATGAGAGGAGGAGTGATTGTAAATTTGCACGGCTGGATGCAATCACCAATTTGTTGACACAAGTGTGCCCCTGTCACTTTAAATCTGATGAAGCTTAACAGAATTCCTCTGCACCACAAATATGCTGGTGGGCCCCTCTTGTCAGAGCACAGCATTTATTGCTTCTGCATCAACATTTAGAAACTGTGAAATCATATTTCATTCAACAAGCAACAATCATGCAATGGCACAATGCATTGGCTAGAGCAAGATTACCCTCTGAAGGCTCAGTCCATCAACTTTGCTCAGGGTCACTGATGATTCAGCTTATTTTTTCCTCCAGATTAATATTAACCTTAGAAACAGATATACAAGATGCACTGCAATAATTTACCAAGGTCTTTCAAACAGCATCTTCCAATCCCCCGACCTCTGCCACCCAGAACTAGGGCAGTAGGTCACATCATCTGAAAACCAGAATACTGGAATTCACTCAACAGCACTATGGGTGTACCTACCCTGAACTGACTACCATGATTGAACATGGCAGCTCACTGCCACCTTCGAGGGCAATTAGGAATGGAGAAAAATACTGGTCATGTCAGCAATGCTCACATGAATGGAAATAAACTCAGACATAGGAAGAAATTGCCTTTTTCTCCCTTGGTAATTGGTACATGTTCATAAGCATTAATCCTCAAACACAGCACATTTATAAATTGAGATAATCTGTCATGAAAGGAACTGTTAAATCAAGGTGGCATGGCAAAACTCTTCTTTTAAAATGTTTAATCAGGCATTGGGCTATCAGAAAGTACAGAAATCAGAAAGACTTACACAATTAATGGTAGGGCCCTGGGTAGTGTTGTAGAACAGAGAGACCCAAGGGTTGGGTACATAATTCTTTGAAATTTGCGTCACAGATAGACAGGGTGATTAAGAAGGCATTTAGCATGCTTGCCTTCATCGCTCAAACCTTTGAGATAAGGAGTTGGGACATCATGTTGAGGTTTTACAGGACATTGGTGAGGCCTCTTCTAGAATACTGGAATTCTGGTCGGCCTGTTATAGGAAGGATATTGTTAAACTGGCGAGGGTTCAGAAAAGATTTACAAGGATGTTGCCAGGACTTGAGGGTCTGGGACTTTTTCCACTGGAGCATAGGAGGTTGAGGGTGAACTTATTGAGGTTTATAAAATCATGAGGGGCATCTGGATCATGCACAAGGGTCTTTTCCCGATGGTAGGTGAGTTCACAACTACGAGGCATATTTTTCAGGTGAGAGGGAGGAAGATTTAAAAAGGACATAAGGGGCAACTTCTAAAAAAAAAGGAGAGTGGTTCATGTTTGTAATGAACTGCCACAGAAAGTGATGGATGCAGGTACAGTTGCAATGTTTGAAAGATAGGTTCATGAATAGAAAGGGTTGAGGAATATGGGCCAAGTTCAGACAGTGGGACTAGTTTAGTTTGGGAACATGGTCAGCATGGACTGGTTGGACTGAAAGGTCTGTTTCCATGCTGTGTGACTCTATGACTCTACATCTTTGTCATGTTGTCAAATCTGGTAGGACCTGATCCAGGAACTTTTATCCAGCCCCCTGTCTCCAGCCATCTCTGTACACCCACTACAAGTCATCCAAGACATCCAACCTTGTGGATACTACCCTCCCACTCTGATTGGCGAAGTAAACACTCATGAGCAGATTAATAACCGGGAATCATCCAATTCAACATCCATTTCTCATCTGTAACTTTATAAAATGTATTCAAAATGTAAAAAAATAGTTTTATTTCATTCTGTAAATTATCTGCTTGTGCTGAAGAAATAAATCCCTATTTCCCAGAGACTACAGGGCAATCCTAAAGCTTTGGAAACAACACACCTTGTATCCATTGTATCCTTTGACTGTACCTTCCTAAAAACTGGCTTCCAAACTAATATAGTCATCCAGTGACTAGTATTGAGAAAGGTAGGTTCATCTTGTTTGCCATGTCCATTCAGACACAGAAAAAGAAAATAAGCAGCATAGCGACAAGTCATTCATCCCAAATGGGCCATCTAGTCACAGGAGCCTCCTTTCGCTCCACCACTTCTTTCCCCATCAAACACATCTGGATCATGCTCTTGTGTTAAATACACAAGTACTAACTACCTCAACTACAGCAAACCAACATTTTAAAAAGTCCTCAGATGCCAAAAGTCCAATCTTTCCAGTTATCAGTGTGGTCTGTTTGGGCTACAGTATGGATGAGCACATGTTGCGCCCTAGTCCTGCTGTCACTGCCCTCCACTATTCAGTGCCAGGCTGAATCTGACGCAGCGTCAGAAACAACAGGGAGTGGTGCAAATTGGCTCAACTGCCACCCCAATCCCAGACCAGTTACTTAGTGCCCCAACAGTATTGAAAAACCGCTTTGAAGAATCGATAGGAGCATTTTTTTTTCTGACTTGGGAGTAAGGTTTGAAGGGTGAAGGTTGGGGTGTAAGAGAAGGAGGGGACCAGGTGAAGATCAGATCAACAGACCGCTTTCATCCAACCAACTAACGACTCTGTGGCACTACGAGTTGGTAGGTGTTACAGGCTGACTAAATGACAAGCCCTCTTCCGCACCCCACTCCCCTCAACGCATTCAGCAGCTTCCAAATAGAGGTCAACACCTTCGCTACACGAGAACGAAGCAGTGACCCGCGGCTCAATTCCAGCCCTCCTTCACATAGCCAGAGGCCCTCCTTACAACGCAGGGAATCGCCATAACTGACCACCGACCACCAAGCACCAGGAAAAGATTATTTGAGAGACCGAGCAGTGAAAGAGGTACAGGAAGGGAAAACAGAAGTGGAAGCGGCAACTTTACACGAACTTTTCTTTTGATAATAATAGCACGTTAATGAGCAAACCAATAACTGATGTGTAGTGCCCATCGACAACTCTCTCAAAAGTTAATGTATCATTAAACCGGAGATCAATTAAGGAATTCATTTTAAGTATCACATTTTTAAAATACAGTCGAGCTTAATCGACTGGTGTTATGCATGTTCTGGCGATCATGCAAACTAATCGAATAATTAAATAACTCTTGATAACCAGAGTCTTCAGAATAGCCACGAAACTGAATTCTATCGCTACACGTCACATGGTCCATTCATAAACTGACAAGGTTATTCACACCAGGCAACAAAGTTAGAAGAATACACTGCACACCCTACTCACCTTCAGTTGAAAGGGCTGGATCTCATTCAATGTTTGTGCTCTGAGCTTTTTGGTTAGAACCTTCAACATTGTATGAAACAAAAGCTCGACTAACTAATGGATTGCAGAATCCGAAACAGTAAAAATGAATACGGGAATGGTGGAAGTACGTGTACGATATCAGTCATTTAAGGCAGGGCAAGAGGGGATTCCGAGAGATGCTAATAGCTGCGAGGAACTTGTTGACTACAGGCACTACTAATGCCAAACCAGCCTTGCTCCTGACTGCCTCCTTCAGTCTGATCTCTTCAGCGATGCAATGGCTGGAGAAGTGGGGTAACAGCGATCCACAGCTTTAACAAGAACGCAGATCCGCTGCTGAGAGATCACAGGATCTTGCACAAACACACACACACACACACTCTCTCTCATAGGCACAAGCTGCTGCCGGAGGTTGTAAATGAGGGTTGAATGGGGGAGGGTCGATGAGGAAGCCGTTCTCTGCACAGACAGCGTGAAGCCCGCGTGATGTTAAGACGTTGCCACACGCGTTTTCTCTTTCCTCATTAGCCACCGACCTTCCTCACCCACAACTTTAACGAATAAAACCGAGCGTCAACCGTACCCCCACCCCCTTCGGCTGCTATTGGCTGACCGAGAGAAAAAAACACATCGGAGGGGAGGAAGAAAAGGCTGGTATCACCCCTCGGGGCGGAGTTAAGCCTGAAAAACCTAATTCCCTGAAATCTTGCACTTTTGACACCCCCTGTTGGTAATTGTAACACATTAGGCGCCTGGGGCTGTGTACAAGTTAACGGTGTTAATTGTAAGAGAGATTTGTGTGTGAAGTTCCAATAAACCCAACATTATTCCAGTTTGTAATTACCGTGCTAAACCGACGTAGTAATTGCATGTGAAATAAATACCAACATGTAAATTAGCATGGAAGTGCAAATAGGTGCTTCTATTTACGCATTGATTCAATTGAGGGAGTTGAGTGTACACTTTAGAAGGAAAATAATTGCATTGCTATATATAGTGTAGGGACAGTGGGACTAAAACCCTAGCACAGACAAAATGGATGGAATGGCCTACTACATAATCCTATTTCCACATGTACACACTAAGTTACATTCAGTGTGACGGAAGTGTTATGGTGCAGGAGGCGATTTGGCCCATTGTGCCTGTGCCAGCTCTCCAAATGAGCCTAATGACTCATTACCATTCTCCTGCCTTTTCCATGTGACCCTGACAGCATTTCTGTTCAAATAATCACTCAAGGCATTCTTAAGTGCCTCATTTCAATTTGCCCTCCACTATATTTCCAAGGAGGCAAATCTAATAGCTCAAAACTGGGCATCTTTAACATACTGCAGTCCTTGAACAGCAGCACAACCACACTCTCTAACTTCACAACCTGGCAAATCCCTTGCTCCATTATTACTGTCAAGAGAGGAAGTTTGAGAGGAGTGGCAACCACATTACCAAAAATATGGTGCGTAACCTACTAAAGTTGCACTACAGAACTGCCTACATGTTAAATGGCAGAAATAGCAGATATCTCTTAACCAATGGACCAGTTTAAAGCTCTACAATACAGATTGGTGGTTAAGAATTGCGAACATACAAACAAGGAAAAGAATAGGCCATTTGGCCCTCATGCCTTCTCTGCCATTCAGTAGATCATGCCTGACCTGATTTTAACTTCGACTCTACATTCATGTATATCCCTGATAATTTTATATCCCCTGGGTGTAGTGATTGGAATGAGTTCGGCCAGATAGATCTCATAAAATACCAGTTTCCTGATTGGAGATGTTAACCTAGTCCAATCAGGGAGTCTTGGTGGACAGAAAGAAACAGGAGTGTCAGCTGTTCTGTTCACTCTAGGATGTAGATCTGATCTAGCTGGGTCAGTGTCATCTATTGTGCGTGTGTAAATAATAGGTGACTTGTTGACAGGATACCGGCCTTTGTGGAGTTATTTCAGTGGCGATGAGAGAAAAACATGAGAGAAAAAAATTCCTGAAGAGATTCGCTTGCAACAGTCATCTTTGAGTTGGGTAAGCATTTCTGGCATCGTGCCGCTATTTGGGAAGCTTGACTCGTTCGATCCTGCCATTGAAGACTGGGGCCAGTATGTGGAGAGAATGCATTATTTTGTTCAGGCAAGTGACATGAGGCAGATGAAAAGCAACAAGTAATTCTCCTGACAGCTTGTGGACCTGCAGCTTAAACAGTTATTAGGAGCCTATCATTTCCTGAGGCGCCAGATACTTTCAAGAGTCAATGAATTTAGCTAAGGACTATGTTATAAAGTGGAGGTTGACCCCCACCCCCAAGAACTAAAAGCAAAATATTCAAAGAGGAGCACCTCACCTCATAATCTGTAAAAGGAGTTTGAAAAGTGGTGTAACCTGCCTTTCAGCAACTTCTGGTGGTTAAATAGAATAAATCCCTGACACTCACTTCAAAGTCAACAAGTAAAAATTGATTTATCTAACTCTATCATTGAACAAATTAACTAAACCATTAACAAACAGAATAAATCTCTTCTAACTACTAACTAATCCCAAATACAGCAATCTTCTAATCGTATGCTGTTCCAATAAATATAAGTCCCACTTATATTTTAAAAAAATTAGTTTCCAGAAATTACAACTAGGCTACTTGCCTTCTGGAATGTTCTGTGCCTTCTCCATAAATTCTTCTGTCAGGAATATTAACCAGCTGTGCCATTGGTACTGTTGTAATTTAGATGGTGCTTTCTCTAAGACATAGAGGAAGCCATTAGATTCTCTCTTGAGAGCTGAGGGCTTTTAGCTCTGGCAAATGGCAGTTAGCTCTGTGGCTTTGTCCAACTGCCCCCTTCTTTTATACCCTTGATGACATATCAATATTTCTTACAATACGATTGGTCCTATGTTGTCAAAACCATCAGATTTAAATTTAATTAGTTTTTAGTATCTAAGCACCCCATTCAAATTGATTGCCTAAATTCAAAAGCCTGTTGTCTCAATAAAACTGCTGCTTGGCCTGCTGACTGTATGGCCTTTTGATACAAATGTTTCAATTCGGTGCTCTCTGTGTTGTTGCAAATATTAAAGCTAATGCTCACAGACATCCATTTTAATTCTCTAAACACAGAAAAAGCACATCATCTTTTAAAGGGACCACACAATACTTTCCCACTAGCATTTTACAAACACCAAATTCGAACTTACTGCCTCCCAATCCACAAGCACTCTCCCCAACTTTGCAACAAATATTATCACCTCAAGCATCCTCTAATTTTGAGATGCTATTAGTTTTACATGGCAGTTTGAGATCCAGGGAAATCCATGTCGGGTTTTTTGATGAGGTTAAGACATCTGGCAGAGATTTTGGTTTAACCCTAAATGAGACGCTGAGAGACCATTTGGTATGGGGGATTAATGATGTGACCATGCAAAAGCACCTGCTAGCTAAAGCCCAACTGGACTTCAAACAAGCACTACAACTGACTTTGTCATTAGAAAATGTGGCAAGTGGAGCACATACATTCCAGGACATTCTAACAGAAGTGGATACCCTTGTCAGGCTGACTGAGCTTGAGGACCTCTTGAGCGAAGGCAATTGCATAGCATCACTCAGGACATGTCCTAAACAGATGGACTCCAGGTCAGTCCACAGCAAAACCCCAAAACAAAGCCAAACCTTGGCTAAATAGTTAAAACTTTCTCGAGGTTCCAGGCCAGCAGGCCATTATAGTTGCTGCCAGTATGCAGACTTGAGACAGCAAAGGAGTCCCACTAGGCCAGAATTGAGTAACAGAACTCATAGACTAGTATTCAGGACAGTGTACACTCTGGAAAGTCCATCTACAACTGGTCACATCATTGGAACAGTTAAATTGCTTAGCAACGTCCAAATCAGAACCTTTTCTGATGAAGGGTCTAGGCCCGAAACGTCAGCCTCTCTGCTCCTATGATGCTGCTTGGCCTGCTGTGTTCATCCAGCCCTGCACCTTGTTGTCTCGGATTCTCCAGCATCTGCAGTTCCTACTATCTCTGATTCAATTCTCTCCCAATCAAAATAAATGCCTGGTTAAATAGTCACCCAGTTTTAATGGAGGTCGATACTAGCGCAGCTGTATCAGTGATTGCAGAACCAGTCTTTACCAAAATTCACTCTGGATTCCAATCCTTAAGTTTACACAAGACTTTGGCCAGGCTGAGAACCTATACCAGGGAAACTGTACAGATTAAGGATACAACTTTGGTTCTAGTCTTATATGAGAAGTGGCTGATTCAATTATCGCTGATTATAGGAAAGAATCGGGCCCAAGTTTGATGGGGTGAAATTGGTTGAGAAAGATTCAACTTGATTGGCTCATCATTTTTTGATTACAAAATGGCTGCCTGAATGAATTAAATACCTGGAGGTTTCTCAGGAAGGTCTAGGGACTATCAAAGGGACCAGGACCGTGTAACATATTGACCAAGAAGCAATTCAACAATTTTTCAAGGCCTAGTGCCATTTGCCTTATGTGCAAAAATGTGGCAGAAATCAACAAGTGAAGGAATCATCAAGCCAGTGTAGTTTGCAGAATGGGCAGCACCACTCATACCAGTTGTGAAGCCCGACAGGTCAGTTCACCTTTGTTGGGATTTCAAACTGCTGTAAAGTTGTACAGGGTACTTGTGGATTGAAAGGCAGGAAGTTCAAATTTGTTTATAAAAATGATCGGGGGAGGAGTGTGTAGTCCCTTTAAGAGGGAATGTGCTTTTCTAAGCTTGGAGATTGAAACAAAAATGTATATGTAAGCATCTGAAGAGATACAGACAGTTCTGAAAATGAAACATATATCAATTGGCTGTGTGATTGGAAACCTTAGGCTTGTTTTGGCAACTAGCTTGAAGATCAGCCAATTTATTTAAACCAAGCATTTAGAGATTGAAAACCAATTGAATTTAAATCTGACAACCTCAGACCAATCCTATTATAAGAAAATTGACAGGTCGTCAGGGTTATATAAGAAGTGGGTTTTTGAAAATCCGTATGAAAGCAAACTGCCATCAGAAGAGTAAATATCTGGCTCTCAAATAAATCTCTAAGCTCAATGAGAAAGCACCATCTATTCACAAAGCTACCACTGCACTTCTAACTAAAGTCCACACAGAAGAATCCACAGAGAAAACATCCCTGACAGAAGGATCAGCGGAAGAAAAGTGTCTATAACTGGAGAGACAGCAGGGAAAGCAGAACATTCAGGAAGACACACCCTGTATGGACTTTGAGAGTCTAAGTTTTAATTTAGTTTCCTTATTACTTGTGTTTATTGGAGCAGCATACCAGTAGAATTTTGTTCAGCTAGGGAATAGTTAGTAGTTAGGGGAGAATTGTTCAGTTTGTTCATAGTTCTGTCAATTTGTTCAGTGTTAGGGTTAAAATAAATAAGTTGTTACTTGTTGCTTATAAAGCGAATATCAGGGATTTTCCTTCATTTAACAATTCCTTTTTAACAGATTAGGCGAAGTGAGTCAAGCTTCTCTGGGAGTTTCAGGTTTAATTATTTGAAGGAGACCTCTACTCACGCCGTAACAGATTGGGGGCTTGTGTTTCAATTTTAATGATCAGAGGGGTTTG